GACAGAGACAGAAGGAGACACAGATAGAGGCAGAGAGACAGACAGGCATAGAAAGAGAGCCCTGCAGAGGAATCATTTGAAAGGATGGAAGAAAATAGTGCCTGTTTCTCATACAAGGCTGGTAATGGTGCCTGTTGTAATTAGGCAGACTGGCAAGTATTGAAAAGCAGATCCAGGATAGTCTTGCCTCAGCCATGGGAACACTTAACTTATTATAGAATGAGTGCTGCTCTGGGTCAGCCTACCACATCATGAAAGCAAGACCTGGAAAAAAACCAAACTGTGTCCTAATAACTAGACAGCATCCCAAAGCAAATACAAAGAATATTTATGTGTATACAAAAACATGTAGCACTCAAAAAGATAAAATCAGCAATATCTAGCATGCAATTAAATAGAACGAGGTTGGCAAATAGGCTGCAAAACATGATCCAGAAGAGAAAATGAAATGAACCCAAACCGTGCAGAACTGAGGCATCCATTATGAGACTAAGCAGACAGGGACATTAAAACAGTCATTACCACAACATTGTACATGGTCCAAAGTTAAACACTCACATGTAAGCTGTAAAAATTTTTTTTTTAAATCTAACAATAAATACTCCAACACACCAGATGTGATTAATGAAGGCTAGGTTGCAAAAGAAGGGTGAAACTAAGGCACAGCAATAGAAACTGTGTAAGATCGCACACACACACACACACACACACACACACACACACACACGAGAGAGAGAGAGAGAGAGAGAGAGAGAGAGAGAGAGAACCAAAACAGATGGCAAAAACCATTTAACCCCAAACAAAAAATACTAAAAACCCCAAACCAAACTCAAATGAAGGAGCTGGAGAGATGGCTCAGCGGTTAAGAGCATTTGCTGCTCTTGCAGGCGCCCTGGGTTTGGTTCCCAGTACCCACAAAGAACCTCACAACCATCTGTATCTCCAGCTCCAGGTGACCTGATGTCCCCTTCTGACCTCTAAGGGTACCAAGCATGCACATGGTACACATACATGCAAGCAAAAACACTCGTACATATAAATAAAATAAAGAATCATTAAAAAATTTTAAACGAAAACAAAGAATAACTACAGTGAAGAATAATTTCTAACAGCTGGTGCTCAGCTTCTTAACCTGTAGGTTACAACCCCAGATAGGGTCTCGTAACTGATTATGGGGATTGAAAAAAAAAAAAAATGGCCACAGGAAAAGGCTTCTGAATGTGCCACAACTAAAAATTCAAAATCAAATGCATAATGAATCTGAGGTGTTTCTGGCAGTGCCCCCCATGTGGCATTGCATGGCTTCACTGCAGTCTGGGTTTTGAACACACATAGTGCACTGTACATGATATCATTGTTATACAAGGCAATTAGCAATGGATGAAACCGCAAGGCTCAAATTAAAGACTACTTATGTTAGGAATCACTGTGTTTTTACTGTGAATATAAAGTCTTCTCTTACAGAAGCACTGTGTGGCTTTATTATAGAAAAAAAACTTTAATACTTTCCGACCACAATTCCTCATCATATAAGTATCAAATTAGTGTATCTTTGTATTATATTATGTCAAAATGTTTTATTTTGAAAACTGCTGTTTGAGTTGTTGACCTCAATATCATTAAAAAAAAAAATTGTTCAAAGAATTTTCACTTGAGATTAGGACAGAATTTCCAACAATTGCTGAAATGACCCTAAGCACACTTCTGCCATTTGTGTTACATAGTCATATGAAACAGTGTTTTGTGCACTGACAATTATAAAAGCAAAGTACTAATCAACTTTGAAAAACATTGAAGATGCTTTATATCCTGCAGTATCAAATATTCAGCCATGGTTTAATTCTTTATGTAAAAATAAACAAGATGTCTATCTCATTAATACACAAATTTGCTTTCATTCTCAATAAATGGTAAAATTATATATTCAAAGAATTGTTTAAAAATACATTTTATGATTTAGAGTCATAAATACAAATTGTGAATGAATTTTGTATTCATTTGTGAATGCAAAAATGAATCTGTATACAGGTTTCCTATACCTATATACCTGAAGTCTCATACAAATTTCTTGGGCAAAAGACATCATAAGGGGAAAAAACAAAAATCTCAAGAAGCCCTTGCTTGGTATCTGCATGGTTAGCCTTCGTGAAGGAGGCATAGGGAGGCATAGAAAAAAATATTTAAAGAAATAATAGCAAAAAACTTTATAAATTTGGGGCTAGGGAAAAAGTTTAGTTGTTAGAGTACTAAGTTCAAGCCCCAGCACTCCTGTAAAACAGTTGAGTGTGATGTTGTACACTTGTAATCTTGGTGCTGGGGAGGTAAAGACAGGGGAGTCCCTGGAGATTGCAGGCCATCCATCCCAGTCAAGTCCTAGTGAGAGACCCTGTTTCAGAAAACAAGATGGATGCTGAGAAAAGACACCCAAGATTGACCTCTGACCTCTATGTCACATGCACATATGTACATGTACCAGTGCACACATGACCCACATATTCATGAACACATACAAATACCCCATCATGCACACACACAACAACAACAACTTTCCAAATATAAACATAAAAATCCAAGATGCTTAATAAATGCCAGTCACAAGAAGCACGAAGAAAGCTAATCAAGGTATGTTAGGCTCGAATTGCCCACAGTGGAATCTGTGAAAAGCAGCTAGACCAAAAACACACATCATATACTGAAGCAGGAAGCCCCGAGACAGCTTCCTTCTCATCAGAAACAATGTAAACAAAGACGTAATGAATCAATATCTTTACAGAAATGAAAAACTGCCAACATACAATTTTATATCCTATGAAACAGCTTTTAAAACTGAAGATAAAGAAAAACGTTTTCAGAAACAAGCTGAAAGAATAAATCACCAGCAAATTTTCACACAGTGGGAAATATTACCCATTGTCCTTAAGGTTGAAGGAAAATTAAGTCAGATAGAAATGCTAATTTACACTAAAGAATGAAGAAAAACAATGGGAACCACATGGGTAAATAGGTTTTTTATATTTAAATATCTTTGAAGGTGTTCTGGTTAGTTTTGTGAACTTGATACAAACTAGTCATCTGGGAAGAAGGAACCTCAATTGAGGATTTTCCTCCATCAGATTGGCCTGTGGGTATGTCTATGGGGGATTTTCTTGATTGTTAATTGATGTAGAAGGGTCCAGCCTGTTGAGGGCAGTGCATTCCTGGGCAGGTGGGCCTGGGCTATGTAAGAAAGGTAGCTGAGCAAGCCAGAGAAGCATACCAGTAAGCCACATTCCTCCATGGTCTCTGCCTCAGTTCCTGCCTCCAAGGTTCCTGTTTTGAGTTCCTGTCAGACTGCCCTTAAAGATGGACTGTACCTTGGAACTGTAAGATGAAATGAACGTTTATCCCCTCATGTTGCTTTTTTGGTCAGTGTTTTATCATAGCAACAGAGAGCTAACAAGGACAGAAGGTAATCAAAGTAATGAAAAAATATATATCACCTACGTCTATAGCATAGCCAAAAGTAAAATGCATGATATGAACTGCCAAGGTTGAGAGACAGAAGTGAGCTATCAGAAGGCTCGTACACCACACGTGAAGAGATGCAATATCGCTCCTAGGTAGATGTATAATGTTAATCCTAAAGCAACTGGAAATAGCAAAAAGAAAAATTACAGTTAATCCAACAAAGGAGGTAAAATAATAAAAGTTTCAGTAGGTAAATCCTTTACTGCATAGGCATGGGGTCCTGCGTTCACATGGGTAACAGAACCCATGTAAAGCCAGGCATAGCAGCGTGTTATGTAGTCCCAGTGCTCCTATGAGGTGAAAGGTGGGGAACCTGAGGGCCAGCTAATTGACATATGAGGCACATTGAATAACAAAAGAGAGACGGTCTCAAACAAGATGGAGGGTAAGGACCAACACCCAAGATTGTCCTCTGACTTCCACATGTGTGTTGTGGTACATATGTGCTTAGATTCACACACATACTCATATACACATGATACATATGAATAAATTCTAAACAAGTTGGAAAAATTAAAAACAAAAGAATATTTAATAAATGAAACAAATATAAAATAGTAAGGTGACAGACTTCAAACCAGTCCTGTCAGTAATCATAGTATGTGTAACAGAACAAACCACCCCGGTTAAGAGACAGAGTTCAAGGGCTGGTGAGAAGACTTAGCTTGCAAAGGCACTTACTGCCAAATCTGATGATCTCAGTTGGATTCTGGGGACCTACATGGTGGAAAGGGAGAACTGACTTCTGCAAGTTTTCCTCTGACTTCTTTCCACATGTATGACCTGGTATGTGCAAACCTTCCCCTCCAACACACACAATAAAAAATGGTGAGCTTGGGTTGAATAGCAAGACCATTTCAAATAAACCAGTCAACCAATCAACCAACAAACCGATCCCCTTAAACCCATGTCATCCAAAACCAAACCAAATCAAACAAAACTTTGTAGCAATTCGAGTTGGCTTACCATACCTCAACCTGGGACATTTCTTTTCTGAAATGCATGTTTACTAAATTTTATAAAAGTAATCTGTCCTTAATGGACTGAACAAAAATAAAACCCGATAAAACATGAAAACAAGCCCAGTGACCCATCCTTGTAGTCATGTGGGCTGTGGAAAGCACTGTGGCTCTGAGCACCCAGTGAGTTTCTTTGTATCTAAGGTAGGCATACAGAAGACTGAACATGAACCTGAAGTATGTTTGAATTATGGTAAATGTTAAAATGAAGAGGCTTCCGCCACAGCCTAATTGGATCCACCTTCCTGTCTCTCTGTGTGGAGTACCAGCTACCTTTGAAGCAGTGACTGAACATAAGCACAAACTTCTACCTCACCACTCAGAATCTGAAGAGCTGCCATTCTGGGGGATGATGGGATTGGGAAGGAAATGCCAATGGGAAAGACTGTCTTCTTTTCTTAGCTTGAATGTGCAAGCACAGGCAAGACCTTGTCCCACAGCAGTTCCAGTCAACGAGCACACAGGGCGCCTTACCTTGTGGACACAGGCCTTTGCGTTCAGGAAAAACAGCTCCACGGTGTTTCTGTCCTTCAGGAAGGATATGCTCTCGATGTAAAACCTGAAAGATAGTACAGGAGTTTTGTTCAAGTTTATTTCCTTTTCCTGGCATGATTTCATTTCCTCAGTCAGTGTTTCCCCCCCCAGTAAGATGGAATGATTGAGGAGCTAGGCGATGGCCTCACCTGGCTGGGCATATGTATACCTGCAGATAAAATCTCCTAAAATTTATGCTCTACTTCTGGTAGAATCTCATTAGGGCCAACAAGGCATGTCCTCCTCCTTATTTTGAGGAGGAAAATTCCAAGGCTAGGTTTCGTGGTGCATGCCCTAGTCCTAGCACTCAGAAGCAGGAGGATCTCTGTGAGTTCAGGGCCAGCCTTGTCTACATACCAAGTTCCAGGCTAACCATAGTTACATGGTAAGATACTGTTTTGTTTTGTTTTGTTTTTTTTTAAAAAAAAGGCTGCTTGGTGGCACTCCTTTAATCCCAGCACTCGGGAGACAGAGGCAGGCAGAGCTCTAAGATTCAAGTCAGCCTGGTATACATTGTGAGTAAGCCAGCTGAGGGTACAGGGGGACCCTGTCTAAAAGAAAAAAAAAAAAAAATCAAAGAATTACTGCGTGTTGGAGGTAAATTAAAGGGGAGACTCAAAACAGTTCCAACTGCAAGCACAAATATATCTGCATGGCTCATTTTCTGATACATGTTCTAGAAGGTAAGGTCACCTCAGACAGCTTCGACAGGAGCCCAGGTGAGTGCTTGGAGCTCAACGCATCAATGACTGACTTAGCTGCAGGACATAACCAAACCTGGAGGCATGCGGGTGGCCCAGTGGTTCTCAGACTCAGAGCTCAGGGCCTACCTCCCTCACCCCCATCCCCTAGGGAGTTTCTGTTATGCCCTGCTCCTTCTCTATCTTTCTTTGAGGCCCTGGGGTTTCCCTTGGCCAGAAGCCAAGCTCTTACTTAGGAGCTGTCTGTCTTGGTCTTTTCTCATGCAAATCAACATTCTGGGCCTCCTGTCCCCATCCCTTTTCTGGGATTTTGCTTGTAAGGTCTGTGAGTTCATAGGCTGCAAACCCGTTTTCAGCAGCAGAGCTTTGAGAGCTTTAAGGTAGAAAGGGAGGGAGGCTGCGGGGGTCAACTTCTGTTTTCATCATTGCATTATGCTGAAGCTGGTCTGTGAGGATTAGTTCTCTGTGCTGAGCAGGCAACCTGAGTCCCAGTACTTCGAAGTTCTAGAGTTTTCTTGTTAAATAATACACAAGAGTCATAATGCCCCAACACAATTCACACAGTCTGGAAAAGTACTTGTTCTCAATGTGCTTTGAATCCAGATTCACCAGGGCCAGGGTGGGAAGATGAACAGCTGCAGGTCTGCAAAATCAGGACCAGTTTGGGCATTTCTTCCTCTTTTTTTGTTCAGTGGTAATGAAATGCTTGAAATAAACACAGCTGAAGAGGCTGTGCAAGAATCTATCAGAGATGGTAAAATCGGCTGAAAATGCCACCTCCTTCTTGTTGATGCATAAAGTAAAGTTCCAGAAGGATAGTAAATCTCATATATTTTACTTAAAAGGGTTTTTGCTCACTAGTAAGTAAGATTAATGAAGATTAAAGTTTTTGATTTTGAGAGATCCAAAGCAGGGAAGGAAATAAGAAGTCGTGAGAAAGTTTGCTTTCAAATAAGAAAGGTCTAGAATAAAGAATGCTCCCCCATTGTTTATGAGCTGTGTGGTCTTGAGCAAGTCATTCAGCTCTTGTCTTTACCAGGACAAGTATGGAAAGCTGAATTTAAGCCATGCATGTAAAATGTTTTGTTTTTTGGTTTTTTTTTTGGTCTTTCTTCAGACAGGGTCTCCCTGTAGTCCCAGCTGGCCTGGAACTCACTATGTAGACCAAGGTGGCCTTGAACTCACAGAGATCTGCCTGCCTCTGCTTCCCAAGTGCTGGGATTAAAGGTGAGTGCCACCACACCCAGCTTTGTAAAATGTTTTTTAAAAAGTTAATAATGGCTGAAAAAAATCTTTTCCCTTCCAAATTCCTGTGTAGCAAGAGTAAAGTTATATGAACTCACTAAGACAGATCTTGTTTATAAAGTGGAGATAATGAAGCTCAACTGGGAGGGCTCTTTTGTGACTGCAATGAATTATATAACAACTTAAGCACCTGGTACAGTGTGTGCCTATGGTAGGAATCCAGTAAATTCTACTCATCAAGGCTCAGCAAACCTTATTTTATTAAAAGGCTTAAAGGATGTGATGGAATTTGAACGATATCTGAAGGTCAAGAGCACAAGGACTCTGCTGAGAAAAAAAAAATCCAGGAGATCTAAATACTGTAGTTAAATAGATCTTCTAGACGATGTGATAAACATTCCTTATAATTTGATCTTTACCAAGACTACATTTGTTGTTTTCTGGCTGTTCTCCCTTTGGTTCAGTTTGTTTGCCATCACTGCTATAAGGACCAAGGATAGTCACCTAACTCGAAAGCAGCCGATCAGTAAGCTGATGAGGTGACCGGGTAGAAGAGAGAGCTACTCAACAGAGGCTTCTTATTGGATGATAAAGGGGAGAAACAGGTCAGGAAGGACTCATAGAAGGCAGAGGAGGGCACTAAACAGAAGCACAGGAAGTGGAGAGGGAGAGGTGAGAGGAAACAGTGGGAGGAGGTGATGGAGCAGAGTGGCCTCATCATTGTGATGGTGGACACCAAAGTGAGTAGGGCCAGAGAGGCTGGCTGCCGCTGGGGGTGGAGGGGACCTTTCTACCCAGTCTCTCTGTACCTCATGTAACTTTGTGGTGGTGGCTGTTTTCTATTCGCTTCCCTTTGTATTTTTTTTTAAATCCCTAACTCTATGAAGGTAACCAGCGCATGTTTCCAGTAAGAGAGTAAAATTGCTCATGCTTAGCAGGATCCTGGCTGAGGGTGACTGGGCTCAGCTTGTGTGCTGGGCAATGTGCTTCCCATGAATTCTCTCATTTACCTGTCATAATCACAATTCTGTTACTGTCTACTTTTCACAGATACAGCCACGGCTCAGGTCTGCTTGCAGAACCAGACTAGGTCTGCCTTGGGTTCCTTTGACTCTGTGGAGACTGCTCATAACCAGATCTTCCTGGCCACCTCTTGGAGATGCTGAGCCAGCACTTGTGCAGGAAGGTAAGCTCTCAGTAATGGTAGCCGCCTCAATGATGTGAATAAATTCATACAGAAGCAAGACCAAGCTGGGCGTGGTGGTGCATGCCTTTAATCCCAGCACTCCGGAGTTCAAGGCCAGCCTGGTCTACATAGTGAGTTCCAGGACAGCTGGGGCTACAGGGAGACCCTGTCTCAAAAATACCAAAAAAAAAAGAAACAAGACCAGTGTAATCTCCATTAGTACACTGAATGCATGGAAATATGCTTCTTCTATGGCTTCAAGAGAGCAAAATCAGTACCTGTGGACAATAGTTAGAAGGCGACAGGTCTTGGACTGACTGACAGAACATCTTTTAGAGAGTTTGAGTTGTCTTGGAAGGGAGAGGCTGTCCCCGAGCAGAGATTTCCTCCCTCGTCCTTCCAGAGTCCCTAGTCATAGTAATAGAAGTCCAAGCTTGTTTTCTCTTCCAAGATGCTCTGCTTCCTTCTACCTTTTTGGTCACCCCACTCAGTATTTAATAGATACCTATTGTTTGAAAAGAGTAACTTTCAAACTGTTGAGAGTATGCCAACAAGTGTGGTAGAGTCATTGGCAACAGACCAGACAGTTGAAATAGTCATAGATATACAAGACTTTATGTATAACAAGAAATTACTTATCCATCAAACACTGGATACCCACCATTGAGAAAGATGATGGGGAATTAGTCACAATAATGTCTATGTTGGTGATGATAGTGGTAACCATTTATCGAGAGCCTTCAATGAGACAGGCACTGTGCAAGAATTTGCCACCTTGTTTTCTCTTTTTAAATTTAAAGAGGATTAGAGAAAGTATTAAATGAAAATGTTCAGTTCTAGCTGCAGAGCAGGGAACTCACTAAAGACATGCCTGGCTCAAAAGATCTTCAACTATGTCACACGACCGTCATTCAAAGAGGTAGAGGACAAACATGCTTCCTTCAAAGACCACAGGTCATAAAGAATAAGCAGACACATAAATAGCCGCAACATAGTGTGCTAATTGCTATAGTGCCGAGAACGCCACTGTCAGTTACTCCAGTGTGCCCCTCTAACAGAGGAGCACTGTACTAAAACCATAAGCTCAATGCATTTTCACGATAACAAGTTCACAATAATTCCTTTATATTATTGAAAATCCAGTCCTTATTGAGGTTTTCCCCTCTCTCTCCAACAGTTTTTTAAAAAGTTCTGTGACTGACTTGATAGCATTGCATTGGCATGCAGTGGGAATCACAGATGCAAAAGCCAGAAGGCTACTGACCGGATGTGAATACTCTAGCATGTAACATGTGACCCACACTAGATCATGTCAATTCTTTTACTGTAGAACATGACACCAGTATAATGACCTACAGAGCAAGACGGCTAGAGCTTACTTGTTCTGTCAGCAGCGCCCTAATGAAACTGTCCTCTGGTTCCTGCTCTCCACATCTCCACAGAAGTCCTGTCTCTTCTGAGGCCTTGCTAACTCCATGTTCCTTATGTTACCCACAACTAGAGTCTGTTTGCTGGCAACCATGGAACTAAACTGGTAGGGGGAGGCCATGTGCTAGGGACAATGCATAGTGTTTTATAGGCATCATTTCTTTTCCTTGCCATTAAAACCAGATCCAATAAGAAGCAAATTATGAACCCGTTCTACAGATGACAAAGATGAGGCACAAAGATATAAATAAAGTTCTCTTCTCTGGGTCACACAGCTAAGAAGTAGTGAAACCATGACTCAAACTGAGGTCTAATAGACTTCTGAGTTCATGTTGCAAATCAATATGATATAATTCTTTCCTATGGCAACAATCTCAATGAAATATTCCATGTACAGTGTCAGGGGAGATGACAAGGGGAAAGCAATTAACTCTGCTGATGAATTAAGAGGGAGAATGTTGCCAA